TATATATATATATATATATATTAAAACCACATTTAATTATATGAATATTTTTTAAAATTTTAACTAATGAATGAATGTTTTAATTGAATAAATAAAAATTATTTATATTTTTATAATTAATTATTGAAACTTATATAAATGTTAATGATTATGCCTAAATATATGTTTGATAATAGCTCAATTTTTCAATAAAACATACACCGTGAATTGGGGTTAGTGAAACGTTTTCAACAAGCATGTATGGCGCATTTAATACACCGTAAATTGGGCTGCACTCCTGCATCTCATTATTTTTCTTGGAAAACTTTTTTTTAACAACTCTTCGTTGACAACATTTTGGTTCATGGCAACCAACAAGATTATTATTATATATTTAGGAATTCCAAACAATTTCAGCCTTGGTCAAATTCCTTAAAAGCCTTTAGCTTTTTTCTATGCCAACTGCACAATGGAGAAGGTCACGGTTTCATGTATCATTTTGACAATGCTCTCGAATTAAAACGGGAATTGAAATCGAAACTCGAGATGAAAGTCTGATTTGGATTACAGAGCAATTCTAAAAGCACCGAAAGAAGTTCACCAAAGTTTTGCCCTTGTATTGTTTTTCCTATATATAACCAATTTGGATTCGGCAAAGAGCACATAATTTCTGATATCAAAAGCTTTCATATCAGTACCAAAAGGTAAACAATTGAATGCGAAAAAGTACCAAGTGAAATCAAATGAAGGTAACACTGAACATAGTGAGTCATGAAACTGCTAAACTGATAGAAAAAAGAAACAGGGCATATCAGAAAGAGGAGAAAGTAATCGATTAGACATTAGATTAAGCGTCATATACACAACATTTGATAAGCTCTTTTCCATCATCCACCATCATCTGCCACATAAATGTATTCTTAAATCCTAGAGAGAAATTATAAATCATCCTAAACCCAGTAAGAGCCAACATCATCATCATCGTCATCATCATCAAAGGTTTTTCCTATTAGGAAGTGGCGAAGGTCCATCAGAAATAGCAGGCCTAGAAGCGCAGGACCTGAGAGAACCAACTCGCATGAACATCAAAACCGAGGCCATAATCTTCTTGACCTTAACGGCAACCTTCTTGAGCTTTAGCTTAGGCTTTTGAGGCTCGACAAAAGTGTTACTGTCCAAGGAAGAAAGCTTGTAGGTAGTGAGAAAGACTTTCCTTTGCTTGGCCCTTCTGCGTCTGTAGCTGATGGATTTCAGCATCTTGTCTTTGTTGCCCTGCAGACCAAGAACCTCGTATCTGTATCTGCGGCTGAAGGTGAGGGTGGTGTTGCGAACAAGTGTGCTCATGATGCCTCAAAATATATTTATTCACACTCACACAGACACACTGATCTTCAAGTGGAAAGAAAATACGGACACGCCTTTTGATTCAGATTTAACGTTGCTGCCTGCAAATTGCAAATGAAGTTTTTCTTCATAAATATGTCTCTCGCACGTTTTGGGGTTTGGTATAGACTCGTGTAAAAGCGTGTTTGACTGTTGACCGTTATTTCCTTGGTTTTTCGCACTTGGCGTGCGCACTCACTTTTTTTTTTCATTTATGGCAACATCAGATTTTTTTTTTACCAAATCTAAAATTTTATATGATTAATGATTTTACAGTGTGGTTGTTGGCACGTGCCACAAAGACTACTGCTAATATTACACTTTTTTGAGTGACAATCAAATATTAAAAAAAAGAAAGAATTTTGGTTTCCACTTATCAAATTTTAATTCCAAAAAATATTATATAATTATCGTAGTTCCCCTTTCAATCCCTTGCTAATTTTCTTTTAAACATTTGGTAAATACTAGCATGGCATGAAATTTTTATATGGTAATTACTTGTTAAGGGTTGAATTAGGCATACATGTCTTTCATTAATTTACTCGTTTTGTTATTATAGATATTCGTTTAATATCAATGGATATTTTAAAACCACGTGTACATGAGATATAATGGATATTTAAAAACCATATTTTATATAATTTTAAAATAAAATTTAAATAAAATTAAAAATATAAATTATAATATAAATTAAAATAAATATAAATTAAAATTTAATTTTAATTAAATTTAAATTAATAAAATATAAATTAAATTTTAATTTTAATATTTTCATACTATATAAATACGAATAATATGATACTTATACTCGATTCATTTATA